CAGAGGACATGCGTCCATGCTGATGACAGGTTCTGCTTGATAATGATCCAAAGCAGTGCTGATTGACGCATGTTCATTTTCATCATCTAAGTCAGATGCCACCTGCAGAAGGTTGATTTTCTTTTTTGGTGGTTCGGGTTCTGTAGTTTCCGCATCGGAGTGTTGCTCTTTTAAGACTTCTGAAAGCATGCTCCACACCTTGTCCCTTTCAGATTTTGGGAGGCACTTCAGATTCTTAAACCTTGGGTTGAGTGATGGAGCATCTTTAGAAATCTCACATTAGTACCGTCTTTGCAAATCTGCAGTGAAAGTGTTCTTAAAACAAACAACATTTGCTGGGTCATCATCCGAAATATATGAGCAGGAGACATACAATTCTCCCCCAAGGAGTTCAGTCACTAAGTAATTATTGCATTATTTTATTAATGAACTCTGGAATGGTGGCTCTGGAATGGTGGCCGAAGCATGAAGGGGAATATGAATGTTTGGCATATCTGGCATGTAAATACCTCCCAATGCCAGCTACAAAAGTGCCACCTGAATGCCTGTTCTCACTTTCAGCTGACATTGTAAATAAGAAGAGGGCAGCATTATCTCCTGTAAATGTAAACAAACTTATTTGGCTGAACAAGAAATAGGACTGAGCAGATTTGTAGGCTCTCAAGTTTTACATTGTTTTGTTTTTAAGTGCAGTTATGTAACAAAGTCTATATTTGTAAATTGCACTTTCACAATAAAGAGATTGCATTACCGTTCTTGTATGAGGTGAATTGAAAAATACTATTTTATCATGTGTACAGTGCAAATATTTGTAATAAAAATAATATAAACTGAGCACTGTACACTTTATATTCTGTGTTGTAATAGAAATCAATATATTTAAAAATGTAGAAAAACATCCAAAATGTTTAATAGAATCTCAACTGAAATTTATTAACAGTGCAATTAAAACTGTGATTAATCGTGATTCATTTTTTTGAGTTAATCGTGAGAATTAACTGTGATTAATCGCCAGCCCTAGTTAATTTCCATCAAAAACATTTTCAGGTTTTTGCTGAAACATCTAATTTTGGGGTTATTTTATAATGAAAAATACTATTGATGGAAAAAATGTTTTAATTGGGAAAAAAATGTTTTGATGGAAAACTTTCAATTGTCTCTGATCTGAGCTATCACGTGTCTGATTGCAATGCTGCTTACAGTGCCTGTATATCCGTGGCACTCTGACTTTAGTAGTGTTACTCCTGCTTTATGCTGCATGAACAGGAACAGAGTCGATGCCCCAGGTCTCTATGGAAATAGGCGTTGCGATGTCACGGCAGTCATAACATGGCATTTTACCTTGATCAGCTTAATGGGGAAAATGTGGGGCACTTGTGTAAGTGCAGGAAGCCTGCAATTAGTTTATAAAAGAGTGGGTGTTCTTCTTATTGCAGTGACTGTCCTATTAATAAAGCAGCGGCAGAAAAGCATTTGGTAAGCCATTTTGGGGAAGGGAAATAGTTTTCAAACTTCTTTTCGGGGGTGAAAAAAGCAAAGCAGGTGAATGGGGAAGGGAGGATGAAGAGGAGGAAGGAGGCATGCATTCATAGAAGGAAGCACATCCACTACAGAAGGGTCATGTCCCCTGGTTGTTACTGTTGGCTGTACCAAGAGGCACCAGTGTGGGATCAGGTGCTCTTGTGTACATGCACCTGGTGGAAAAGAGAAGGTCCTCAAAGAGCTTGCCTCTTCAGTATGCCAGCCTCTACCCCCAGCTGTGCTCAGGCTCACACCCTGAGTCATTGTAAATTGAGGCACAACTTGCCCCTCTTCGTTTAATTCTAGTTAGTGAATCTTGTCTCTGATTCCACCTCCTGGGATGCTTCACACTCATACAGGAAATGCTCATTAGTGGGCTAGTTGGGTATGCAGAAGCAGAACTGGTCTGATCAGGCCAATGAAAATTACATCCAACTGTACATAACGAGGCTGTAGGTTCCTTATGCTGCAATCAAAATGACACATAAAGCAATTATGCAAAGACATAATTCCAGCAGGGGCTTTGGGTGGCACCATAAACCAGTGGAGCAGAATTCCCTCTGGGTTGCGTGGCTGCCTATTTGTTAGTGCTGCTCATCTAGCAATACCACCAGCTCCGCTCTAATCCAGTACCTGAACGTGCTTTGTGAGCCAACGGCGCTATCAGCGCTCAGCACTGCTCTGAGGCACCCAGTAGACTGCTGGCTCATGACGGAGCCTGTGGGTGCTGGTGTAACCCACACACCTCCTGGGTATGGTGCTCTGTTCACTCTAGTGGCACTGAGACCACTTGGCGTCTGCCACGTGGCTTTTAGCTCATGCAGTAGAGGCTCATGCATTTAGCTCCAGAGATCCCAGGTTTGATCCTCCCTGCCGACGACCGGGATCTGTCGGTGTTACACTGGCACCAGCTGTCTACAGCTCTATGTGTGGGAAATCACCCCTCCACCAATTCAAGCTCCACTCTGACACCACCCCAACCAACACTTTCCCTTGAGAGGGGGCTTCCATAGAATTAGTAGGGCCTTCCTTCTACTGGATCTGAGAGGGAGGGGCAGGCATCCATGGGCAGGACTCTGCTAACTGTAGTGAGAGCTAGTCTTATCTGCATCGGTGGGAGTAAAATGGCATTTTATTTATTGAGAGTCTGCTCTTAAATTTCACGGCAGAGAGTTCGTGCCCCCTTTACACCCCCCTCCCCGAACTCTGGGCACCCTTGGTTTACAAGAGCATGGGTGATCCACAATAAACTTTGAGCAAAGCAGCAGCTGCCTCATTTCTTCCCAACACACTACACATCAGCTGATCTCCAGGTCTGTGACCAGTTTGGCTCCAAACCCCTCCTGATCCTTCCCAGCTAGAGAGATTCCACCCTTAGCCTCCTGCCAGTGCCTGGCCCAAGAGATGAGCTGTACAGTATGCTCAGAAGGTCAGCAAATTCCGGCTGTTTGTAGCTCTCAGTGCTGCCAACGTCCCTTCCTGTGGGTCTAGTCCCTTCCATGAGCATAGGATGTTCTTACTAAAAGTATTTCCCATTTCCCAGACAAGTCCTACAATGGCCCATCTATAACGATGTGACTAATTATCACATCGGTGCTAAGGTGACTTTCATCACAGAAACGGAGAACTGGAAGAAACCTCACTAGGTCAGCAAGTGCAATCCCCGGCACTGAGGCAGGACTAATGGTGGCGGCTACTCAACGGGAAGGTTGAGAACCTATGTATGTGTAACCCACGCACCTCCTGGGTGTGGTGTTGTGTCCCATCTAGTGGCACCGAGTCCACTTAGAGAGAGGGAGAGATTATGAGTCTGTTCTACTGCCTTAGCTAACAGCCAGTTGGCTTTTAGCTCGCACCATAGAGGCTCATGCACTAAGCGCCAGAGGCACTAGGTTCAATCCTGCCTGCCGACGACCGGGCTCTGTCGGTGTTACATATGTGCTTGCCAGGCTAAGTTCTGCCCCAAGGTACGCTGGTGTAAATCTGTAGCAACTCCCTTTCAAGTGCTTTTGCTCCATGTGTTTGATAGCTGGTTAGTGAGAGGTGACCGGTACAGCTGTGCTGCCTCTCTGATCAATCTTACTCTTTCTATACGGCAAAGGGCCATGCTCTTATTAACAATGCAGAAGATCAGCAGGTCTATCTCGTTGCCACAGACGCAATGAGCCCTGTGCATCAGCAGCTGAGGGCCTCTGTGGATGAAACTTGACTAGACAAGGAGATGGATTCTGATTTCACTTACAGCAGTGTAAAACAGGAGCAGTCCCAGTGACCTCACTGATGTGAGGGAGGCAGAGTTGGACTCAAGGCCATTCCTGCTCCAAGCTTTAAGTATCCCCAGGCACTTTCCATCAGCGTAGGGGTTTGCCCTGCCATCTGTTGTGCCGCCTGGTGGTTTTTGGGTCGACTGCTGTCTTTCACCCCAGAGGTGGCTGCATTTTAGAGGTGCGTGCTGTTGATAGTTTGTGAAGCAGTTTAGGATAAAGGGTACTCTATTAATGTGAGATTTACTGTTGCTATTAAAATTTAGGCGTTCACTGATAGGGATGGGGGCTCAGTTGTCTTGGTAAAAGATGTCAGGGGGTGAGATTTCAAAATATAGGTCTGCAGCCGAGGAAACATTGAAATCTCTGGAGCGAAGAAGTTCCAAGAGCCAGCATAGCTGCTGGATCAGCCCTACCAACATAATCACTCCTTAACAGAAGGCAACTGATGCCATCCCATGGCTACCACTAGATGGTGCCCAATCCACAATTTAACAGGAAGGTTTTCGCCAATCCCAGCTGGAGCAGTGCAGCCTTCTCCGGTGGAAACAATGCAGTGCCTGCTCAGATTAAGGCAAGGGGCTGGATACCTAGGTTTGTGCAAGGGAGCTCCCAGGATGGGATGGAGCTGGCTCTGATATCACATCTGTGGACATAGAGGGTTGGGAACACCATCGGAATCCAGAACAGTGCAGACTTTTGACTTGGGAAGCCTTCCCAGAGGAGAGCAACTAGCTGGAAGTGCTGAATGCTGGTTTGTGTATGTGTGTAGGGGGGTGGGTGTCCGGCATTTGACTCCAATTAAGGTGAAATCTGGAGTGAACAGGAAGGAGAGCAAAAAGTGGATGTGATGAAGGAGTCAAGGTGTCTCCCAGCTGCTCCCTCTTCTGTGGGGCGAGATGGATGGACAGAAGTGCTGCCGTTTGCGACAACCTGCCTCCAAAATATGAATAAGAAAATCCCGCAAGAGAACCTGGTTCAGTCGTGCTCGCTCTGTTAAGATCTATTTCATCCAGAGCAGACAAACGTTCACCAGGGTTGCTCCATTGGAAGAGAAGTAGCTTACCTGGAGCAGAAGAGCTAATCCCCCTCTCGGTGAAGTTGGATTGGTTTGGGGTGCTTACCCCACCTCTGTATACAAATCGTCCTAACCATGGGCACTGTGTAACGGCAGCGTATGGCTGGCTAAAGTGTCGGGTTGCTTCCTTTTTATTTCTTATATAAGTTTGAACAATGATCACAGTCAATTCGGATGGAAAAATAATGATCAGAAGATGTCTTGTCACCTTGAGACCTTTTAGGTAAAGTTCTTTTTATTGCTCTATTTACCATTGTCCCTCCCCACCCCCGGCCTTTGCACCCCATCTTTCTGTTCAGCTTCAGGGAGCTGAAATTGAATAATTCATCTAAACAAATTTCCTAGCCCTCACTGTCTTCCAGGGGAATCAATCCCAGATTGAAATGTCAAGAATCAAAGCAAGTTTGCCTTTAAGTCAGCTTGATGGGAGCTGATGTATGGCTCTTGCATACTGTACCTGGCCTGCTAATTCATTTGTTATGCTAATATCAGTTGGGTATTAGTTACAGGTTTTTAATACCTTTCTTGGTGATATTTGCACCCACTGGGGAATCGATGCATACAAATTAAAAGCCAGCTTTGGCTGTCAGTGACACTGGTTTGAATCCAATGATGTTAATGCGGTTGCTCCGGATTCACACGTGTAACCAAGAGCAGAATCTTATCCAAAGTCAGACCTTCCAAGCTCCCCTCCCCACCTGAATTTATGCATTTCTACTTACTGATCTCCTCCCCCCCAACAACTACAAAGTTTTTATGATTCTGTGACTATTGATTTGCATAAACTCCTTGCTGTACGTCTTTTGTGTGTGTGTGTGTGTGTGTGTGTGTGTGTGTGTGGACTGTCCATTAACATGCAAACTCTTCTCTAATGCTTGTGTGCTTTCTTTAAAACTGATTTGAGGAGTCATGCTTTATGCACTTCCAGCCTCCAAAGGGCATTGTTTGTTTGTGTCTTATGGGTGAGGAATTAAAAATATAAAGGTTAGGTCTGGATCCAAACAAACCCATCACAGTGCTTTCTGATGGTCCAAGTAACACAAAAGCATTGAAAGTGGATTTCACAAACCAGGATGCTGGGTTTTAAACTTGGCCAAAGGAAATGGGGTTTGTGGGGATGGAAGGGAGGGTCGGGTTATCTTTTCTCACATGGGATAGCTTTTGAGAATTATTGCTGCTGAAATTTCATCTGTCTAAATAATTCATCTGCCCCCGCACACCACCATTGTATCTGAGCACTTCACAGTCTTTTAATGTAGTTATCCTCCAAACACCTCTCAGAGGTACGGGAGTGTGATTATCCCCATTGTACAGATGGGGAGCTGAGACACAAAGGAGGCTAAGTGCCTTGCTCAAGGCCATACAGGGAGTCTGTGGCAGAGCTGAGAACTGAACACAGGTTGCCCAACTCCTAGGTTAGTGCCCCAATCACTGGACTGCCCACCTTCTTGGACCATCCAGGCAAACAGGTGGGACAGGTAGCTCTGCTAGGACTTGGGAGTGGGTCAGCAAGGGGATTGTACCTCCCCGTTGGCTTGGCAGGGATTTTGTCTCCAATCTGATGGCAGGCAGATGGGTAGAAGGGGCACACCGGTGAGGCTGTGCTGTAGGGCAGTTGCTTTTGGATAGCAGAGCTTGCCTCCTGGAAGGAGGATAGAAGAGAAGGGAGAGGTGCCTAACCACAGTTGGGTTGCATGTTGAAGAGGGGGTGGAAGCAATTCCCTTATCTCTCATCCTCATTCCGCTGCTGTGGGCCAATCCTGCCCTCAGTGAAGTCCAGGGCAAAACTCTGATTGACTTAACAGATGCAACACTCATGGATGGAGCAGAGGTGGATTGGGGCACACCCTGAACTAGCAGGGAGGGGGCTAAAGGAGGGCGGTTACTCTGTAGCAATTCACCAGCTGTGCCAGTTGTGTCAAACACTATACACAGCCGTCATCTAGAGCTGTCGCTTTTGCTCCTGTTGAATGACACTCTGCTTAATAGAACAGCAGCGCCCAAGGCGTTGTGCTGGGCTCGGCGGCTGCCTTCAGCGGGGGACGGGGCCAGCGCCACTTTGAGAGGGGCTGTTCATTCACTTCCATAAATATGTTTGTTAAACACCAAGATGAGGTTAGTGGAAGGGGCTCCCCCTCTGGGAGTGGGGAAATCTCATCTCTAGCAGTGTCCTGGGAATAAGGCTTGAAGTAGGAATAACAGCAATGAGTCATAGCACACTGGCCAAGTCTGATTAAAATTAGGCCTGAGACTGGAACAGGAGGGGAAATGTCTGTGGGGATTTGGGGATGGGGCCAGGTGACCAGTTCGGGGGCTTGGTCTTGCTAAGAGACTCAGGTACCTGGACAGTGTTCTCAGTACACTAGGGCCTGATTCTGCTCTTATGCTGGTGTAAATTGGGAGCAATTGAAATCAATAGGGTTACGCAGCTGTTAAACCAGTGTGAGACTTGAATCAGGCTTTTCTAAGAGATGTTTTTTCCTTGAGATTTTATATCACAGGAAAATAGATGTGATTGACTGTGGCTAAAGCACCTCAGGGGTGTTTTCCCCCCAATCATTTAGACAAACTGGTGGCAAGGATTCTCCCTGGTTTAACTCATCGGTAATGGTGTTTGGTGGGAATATTTTGAAGCATTGGAACTGAAAGGCTAATAACACCAGTGTGGTAGGACTGAGGTGGTGAGGGAAGCCCGACCTGCAGCACCCACTTATTTTCTAGGTCTAAGCCCTGCCCCACAGCTTTGCTGATGCTCTTCACCCCCTGCTAGTCTAGGCCTTGAGCATCCCACAGGTCAGCTAAAGGTGTCATGACCTGCAACTTTTCTCCTATTCTAGCCCTACTTCTCCCTACCTCCACCAATTTACCAGCGCACTTCAGTCTTCACCTGTGGCACACCCTGTTGTTTGAACTCTGCCCTTACAGATCCCAAGCCACTATTTTATGTAGCGAGCATGTGGTGAGACTTGCGTATGCTCTTAGGCCTCGTCTTCACCGCAGCTTTAGCTCGAGGTATGATTCAAGTGCTCCCTTAATCTCTAGCTCAAGTTAAGTGGTGCTTTAATCTCAAGCTACTGGGGGTGTGGGTTGACGCTTGAGAGCTGTTGATGCTCACACTAGTAATGCAGTGGGGACGTAGCTAATGTGCTGCTAATCCAAACGTCTGTGTGGATGCTCTCACGTGAGCTAGACTAACTCAAGAGCAGCTGGCTGCTCTTATCCAAACTTAAGTTAGTGCTGCAGTGTAGGCAAACCCTTGGAATCTAGACACCCCCCCCCCCAGCTTTGTGTAGTACTGTGGCTGGTCTGCAGTCCATAGTGGTCACCTACATCTATTGAGACCACATGTCAGCTGGCGTTTAATCAGCTTATCTCCACTGAAGTCAGTGGGCTGGATCCACATAGGTGCAAATCAGCATAGCATCAGTGAAGTTGCCAGGCACCAACTGGAGATTTGGCCCATTGAAATCAAAGTGGCGCTCAGCTGAATTCAGTAATCATCCTGTGGATAAGCTTAGTGTGGTGAGGGAAAAGTCCCAAATCTGTGAGCGTGCCCTGGGAATGGAGAAGAGTTGCTGATTGCTAGCACTCTGTAAACATAGCAGGAGGAGATCAAATAATGGAGAGGAGGATTTCTTGATAGAAACTTGTGTGAATGGCTCACTTCTAATGTGTCTGACTTCAAAATCAAAGGTACCTCAGTGAGTGATTCTACCCAGCAGTACCTGATGGAGCCAAAAGTTAATCACAAGTCAACTATAGCGCCTTACCCCAGCCATCTCTATGCTTCTCTTTGGGGAACTAAAGAGGAGTGCCGTGAAAGCTTGTAAGTAGAAAAGCCATTTCTTTCCTCAGAAGCTTAGGGTATGTCTATACTACCCGCCGGATTGGTGGGCAGCGATCAATCCAGCAGGGATCGATTTATCGCGTCTAGTCTAGACGCGATAAATCGACCCCCGAGCACTCTCCCGTCGACTCCTGTCCTCCCGCGCCGCGAGAGGCGCAGGCAGAGTCGACAGGGGAGCAGCAGCAGTTGACTCACCACGCTGAAGACACCATGGTAAGTCGATCTAAGTACGTCGACTTCAGCTACATTATTCACGTAGCTGAAGTTGCGTAACTTAGATCGATCTCCCCCCCAGTGTAAACCAGGGCTAAGAATGCATTGTTCCCATGGAGGATTAATGCTGCTGCTTAGCATTTTGCTGTCTGGTGACCCAGTCTGAGAGGCCTCTGGTGTTTCAGGACCATGGAAAGCTCATGGTTTCAAAGGATGCTGCAGCCTTTTCCTGCATGCGTTTCCAGGATACCCAAATGATATATAGCACATCAGAATACAAATCCCCAGGGCCAGATTTTGCTCTGTTATAATTGTGTGAATCTTCAATAACTCTATTAAAAACTATGCCGTTATTCCAAACTGACAGTAAATAAACTGGGCAGAACTTGGCACTCTCCTCCTGGACATAGTCCTAAAGCAGGGGATTGTGAATACTTCAGTCCCAGGGTAGAATTCTAGGTAGAATTGTCACCATAACCTTGTAAAATCAAAGCATCCTGAATTAAATTAATATGTGGTGACAGTCCACGTGATGAACAGCCAGCTCAGAATGAGGATGCTACATGGTCGTCAAAACTCTACGTTCAACAACAGGTAAAGTTAATGGACTAGTTTTGGAAACGGGGCCTGATGCAGCTCTCATTTACTGTGAAAGTCCACTGATTTCAATGCAGATAATTCTGACTTACACCAGTGTGAGGTTCAGTCAGGCCCCTGGTATCTTTTGGCCATTTCCCCAATACTAGGCGCCAGCACAAAGAACTGCAGTCCAAATTTCCATGGAGATGAGTGATTGAATGGAGAGCCTTTCACCCCCCTCCCGCCTCCCCATAAGAAAGGGAGAAAATCAGAACAAAATATGAGACAGCCTACAAACTAAGGGCGAAACCCCCGAATCTCCTTACTCCTAGGAGAAATCCCACCGAGCTAAATGCTGTTTCTCTCCCAAGTAACCGACTTAGGATTTGACCTGGTACATCTTTTTAAGTACCTAAAATCTTGAGTCTCCTCCCCTTCCTCTGCAATCCATTTGAAACTGAAGTTTTTCCTTCTAATGAGATGCTAGAACGCATGGCCCCTTTGAATTTTTTTCTTCAGTAATTGTGGAGGGTTTTTCCTTCTTTCTTTCCCCCATGGTCTAAATTGTTAATTAAATGCGGAGT